TCTAGATGAAACATGGTTTGACAGTCACGATGTAGTAAATTTCGGTTGAGTTGGCAGTAGTCAAAATTGCTGTTTGAATGGGCCATGTTCTAAAGGGAAACGCATTATAATAGTACACGCTGGAAGCAAAGACAGTTTCGTGCCTAATGCTTTATTATTATCTGCTAAACAAATTAAAAACTGTGCAGCTGATTATCATGAAGATATGACAGCAGAATTATTTGAAAAACGGTTTAATGAACAGCTTTTACCTTACATTCCACCACAGTCAGTATTCGTTATGAACAACGCATCCTACCACTCGCGGCAACTCCTTAAAATACCAAATAGTAGCAGTAAAAAAGCTCAAATTTTAGCTTTTATGTCTTAAAAAAATATTTCTATTCCTGCCAGTGACAGTAAAAAAGGACCAACAAACAAAGAATTGCTTACTGTTATTAAAGGTATAAAGTTAGAAAAAATGTATTATATTGACAAGCTGTGCAAACTCTTTTCAGACTACCTCCTTAGTATTTCATATTTAACCCTATAGAGTTAATATTGGCAAACTTAAAATCAGAATTACGAAAATGTTATTAGTCTCCAGAACTGAGTAAAGAAGTTGTAGAACTCGTAAAGAAAGTTCTAGCAGCAGACCGCCAAGAGCTTCGGAAAAACTGTGTTGAACATGATATCAAAGAAGAAGATGAGTATGTAGTATTACCCTCTTTACAACCCATCATAATTCAACTAAATGATGACTCTAGTTCAGAGGATTCAGACTGCCATGATTATTTATAAAGATACTTTAGAATTGAATTGTTTTTTTTCTTTTGTTTTATTTGCAAAGAATTTATTTTCCTTTATGGTTTTTTCTTTGAAATTTTGTTTTCCAGAAAAAGAACGAATGGGGTACAAAAAGGGTTCAGTTCACGTCTGGTACCCTGTTTAAACCAAACTCCCTTGCAGGCAGGTACACTTTACTCGCTTTTTTACGTTTTATAATTTAATATTCAGTTGTAGCAAGTTAACGAGTTATAATGATTTGAGTCCAAGTAAGATTACAATTAAGTGCATCTGTCTAAATAAGGGCGTATAATAATGTCCAATTTATAATTATTCGATTTCCTTTTAACGAATACTTTCTTGCATATGATATATATTAAAAGTATTAATAAAATCAATTTATAAAATGAGGTAGGTATCTACGCCTATGGCAGATCAAACAAAATTGTCGGTAAAGGTTCCGAACGATTTTTATGATCTGCAATTGATAATGGAAGAACTATACGTATATGTGCCATGTTACATGGGCCGCAATATTTTTGGATGATGACCCTTTATATGGGGCATCCATTTAAAATTAGTTAGTGGGAATCTCTAATAAATAAAATATAAAACATAAATATATCCTATCGGATTACTGCAAAAACAAGATAACTCATATTTTTAGATTTTCGAGAAAACGCTATTCAAAAGGTTAAAATTTAATAAAAAATCAGTAAAAGCTTCAAACTGTTTAACACTTTAACCTTTGTATGTACCAGAAGTGGTACACAGCAAATTGTTACCATGGGCTGTGTATACAATATGGTCACAAAATATTATTTATCAAAACCTGGCAGATATTTTATAAATTATTGCCAGAAACTGCGGCTTTTTTTTTGGTAAATTTGTTTTATTTGAATAGTTACAAACCATTAATATATTACAAAAATGTATAATTTTGCAAAAAACATGATCAAAACGTTGTGTCAAAAAAAAGAACACTCGGTTTGTTACAAAAGTCATTGTCTAAAGACTACATATACCAACATTGGATTTTTTTTTCTTTTTTTATCTGACAATTGTGTGTACCAGAAAACAATTAGTTATTGCACAAGAACTTCTCACTACATGCCCGAATAGTCATTTTATTTTGTAGGTTGTCCTTAATGAATTTGAAGTTATGGAAATATGTCCTATCTATAAATGCTAGAGGTACTGATGAACAGTGTCAGACTGATGTAGCGGTGAGGAGGGTGTCACATCGTCGCATGCATTTACTAAAATATGGAAGATAAACTTACATTACAGTTTTTTATACTATCTTGTTATACTTCAATATTATTTTCCATTTCTTTCGCTAAGTGTTTTGTAGCACTTAGTGCATTTTCCTCTCTTGTTTTCTTCAGTAAGTTTATGGTTTCTTTCAGGTACACTTGCCTTATTTGTCTGCAGTTGATGATTGTGGACTTTTTCAAAAAATTTGTTTCATGATTTGTGTTCACACGTGTATATTTTCATAAAAGTACCTAAAGTTTCGCCCATCTATCGACGACATGCGAAACTGTTCCGCCAGAATTTATCCACAACCTGAACCAACCGTTATAAGCATTTTTAAACTTCATGTAGTTGTGTTTGTATATTGTACACACCAGAATTAATGCATGTTTCGTGCCCATATAGAGACACACAGTTTGTGGGTAAATACTTATTGTGTACCACTTATGGTACGCACAGTTTGTTGGGAATAGCGAAAAGCTACCAAAAAGTAGCTCGGTTTGTACTAAAAGATATTAAATAATTGCTCAGGGGCCAATAGGTTAATAAACAATAATAAAAAAAAAGGTTTTCAAAACAACTAGTCTTCACAAAGTAAGTATAAACTAAGAATTTGTCGATTTGTAACCAAAAGAAAGAAAAACCATACTTTGTTTATATATTCAATGTCAATGTGTTTATATATTCAATGTCTGTGTCACTATCTTCAATGGCAGGTTCAGGTACAATGTCTTTAACATTATTCGATACAGGTAGATTGTGACAATAATGGTGAAATTCAACAGGTCCAGCACCTGATTTGCAAAGTTTTAGTAAATCTGTTTTTCACCCTTTCAAGGTATCCCTCTGCCGGTATGGCTTGGGTTTTTCAAGCAATGCGAAAGCCGGTGTTTCGATGATTTAAGAAGTGCTTCTGATCATGTTAACGTCAGCATACTCGTTACAGTTTGACCAATTACTCATTACAGCTTGACCAATCAATCATTAACCACGGCGATTCGGGCATAACGTGTTATAATCTAGTTTTTTGAAGGACAGCTGTATCGTGGAAAAAAAGGGTGACATAATCATCTTGTCGGTTCAAACGAGAAAGGCAAGAGACTGCTCTTGGCAATACAAAAAAAGGCTTGGGTAAAATGTTCAAGTATTTCAACAAATGATTCAACAAAAATAAGTGTTCTGGTCTTTATCTTGTTTCAGCAAAAACATTATTAGGAATCGAACTAAATACAGTTAGCAGAAATAAGTTATATCTCTTATCTGGTTTTGGTAGACACACTATTAGTAACTGAGTACAATTTTATGATTATATTTCTGTATAAATGCCTTTCATCTTGTTTGTGCATATAGTGAATACATTAATATGGAGTAAGATTTTGTTAACTATCTGTTTATCATGAATACAGGCTTAGTTCACACTTGATTTGTTTATGCCGTATATTATTTGAATTATTTTGGAGACGAAAGAGTACTTAACTCGAAAATGCCGAAAGTGGGGCCATCTTGTTCTTGCAGTACCCCTATGATCCAAACGTTTCTTTAAAAATTTGCGTTATATTTGGCGCAGCAACCGTTGATTGTTTTCGCGCATTCTGTTCAAGATTTTAAAAACAGAAACCTATAGTTTTAAAAATCACCTTCTTAATAATAGTGTTTCGGGCAGCAAAAAAAAAACTTGGAGGGCCGCATGCGGCCCGCGGGCCACAGGTTGAGTATGGCTGCTCTAGATCATCACGACATTGACTGTCGAGATTCCTAGAAGGCAGTTTGATGTGCTTATTCGGGTTAAGCGTCGTTTCAGGCTCGTTCTCAAATCTTCAAAATATTTCTACAACTTATTTCAGATAATTCTAACCTTTAGGATTTTGATTTGCTATCTACGATATATTAAATTTACAATTTTCATATTACGGTGCTTAACGTACATTGAAAATTTAACACACACAGACGAAGATATGTGCTTAGTATGCATAAATGCATTTCTTGTATACACTGATGCTATATAGAGGTTTTGAATATTTAAGAACGAACCTGAAACGGCGCTTGACCCGAATTAGCACACCAAAGTGCCGTTTAGGAATCTCGACAGTCAATGACGTGATGGTCTAGAGCTAGAGGTAGGGAATTTGTGTACAGATCAAAGATGTCTGCGTTCGAATCCCACCGATGACAGGCTTTTTTTCAAATCTCCAAGTATTTGTTTTCACCTTTGGGGTTCGGGGATGGTGTTAATAATTCGTAGGGGGATTTTTGAGATTTGTTTCCGAATTTTAAAATTATTTCTAATATTACAAAAAAATTTATTAAATCACCCGCTATGTATAATCAGGACTTGGCAGGATTGTTGAAATAAATAGTTTCAATTATTACAGAAGCTATTAAAACATTTTATATCACTCTAAAAATCTTGGAGTGTACCCAAAAGTTATTGTTTTATATAAAGTTTTGTTGAAAATTATTCGACACCAAATACACTAAATGTTTAATTTAGAAGATGACAACATTCTGGTGGCATTCTAAAGAATATTTTTAGTTAAAGTGTGCAAAGTTAATTGAAATTACTGTGCAATATGTTTGTTTTGTGTGAATTGTGGAATGGATTATGTTACAATACTTGTTTTATTGATATGTAAGTAAATATTTTCTGTTCTTATTGAAATTTTTATATTCTTATTGAAATTTTTATATTAGTAATCTTTAGAACATCCTTATCTCATTAATATGTAGATATTCTTTACTCATAACTTTTCATCGCTTTGCACACTTTTTCTTAAATACATATTAATCCACAAAAAATAGTTCTAAAATATGTCATTTCAGACAAAAATAGAGATACGAGACATGTCCGTGGTAACTATGCACGGATCTGAATTAAATCCAAACTGCGTGAATGTATAAACATTTTTGTCTTTTATTTCATATTATTTACAAATTATCAATCTTTTAATATTTGGTTATTATTTTTAGTATTAAATAACATGGGCAGCGTTTGGTCTTTATTCGGTTATGGCAACCACGGTAGGACCGATGATCCTGATCCTGTGACAGGACTTACATCTAGAGACAGGTATCACGTTAAAACCTCTTGGGCTGGCGTTATGAAAAATCCAACGGAGAATGGAGTAGCTTTACTTATTTTGTAAGTATATTTTGAATGAATACCAATCACAGTTTATATTTAGTATACTATTTTTTTTATTATTTTAAATTGCATGCATATATCTGCCAAACTAATAATTGGTATTCTAACTAAGAATCAACAAATAACGGCATGATTTTCGTCTATATTGGCAGAGAAACCTTAATTTATGATCTAGTTTTCTACCATGGGCGTCGTTACACAATTCTATAGGGAGGGGACAAATTTTGAAGAAATTTAGAATATTTATTTGTTAAAAAACTAAGAAAATGACAAATAAAAGAGCAATACAAATTAACAAAAGTTTTTAATAAATAAAATAACCCAACAAAAAAGACACAACTAAAATAAAAAAAAAAAACAAGAAACTTAAAACACATATTTTTAAAAAACAAACAGAAGGTGTGAAACAAAAGAAAAATATTAACAAGAAGACAGAGCCCATACATAATATTAAAAAAAAAAAAATATTTATGGAAACACAAAACCAAAAAAACTCACTCAAACACGTCGACGAACACTGGGAAAACGCAAATTTTTATTTTTTTTTCCTCTACCTAAAATAATCGATAACAGAAAACATAATTTATTTTTAGTTTTTTGCGATTATTTTTCGATGTACGCTCATCATGCAAAGCGCAGTCAGCCTATTTTTATTCATTATTCGTTCTGTGCGTGACAGCAGCGCCAAATAATTCATGAATTAACGGACGATATTACGTATACTGACAATACAATTTTTAATGGAATTCCTAATTAAAAAATATAAATGTTGATTTTAATAAAAGTATACAGATTTGTGAAACAAGTGAAAAAATAAATTATTATTATATATTTTTATTACTTCAGCTAAAAAAAATAATGTATGATATGTTGTTATTGAAGAATAGGTTAAATAATGTGAAAATATAAACAACGTAGTATCAAAACATATTAACAAAATTAATTGGTATATTTTCTTCATTTTTAATTCGAAAGAACCCATAGAAATTAATGATTAAAATTGGTTTCCTATTAATAAGTCACAAGATTGCATTTTAGCCACATATAATAATCAAAGGCAGAAATCTAATCCTTAGAGTTAAGGGATGTTGAACAAGATCGTAAAATAATAATTTATTGTTTATTTAAAACCTTTAAATTTTCTGATGTCTACTATTTCCAGAATTACTGTTATTATTACAAAAATAAATTTTTTTTTTCTTATTGTACAGCTATCCATTTATTTCTTTGATTTAATTTCCATTTTGCTACTGAAAATTTATATAATTTACACTGTTTTTTCTACTAGTATTTTTACAATTAAACATATGCCTTGTGTTTATTGTTATGCGTGCACGGCGACAATCGACAGTATGAGCCAGTGCCAGTTGTGTAATTGTGTTAGTTACGTAATTTTATTGTATACAGCGTTGTCAAACTGTGGCACATATTACCTAGGTAACGAAATATCAGTAATTCATATATTAAGGCTGTATGTTACAATACTAAATTAAGTACCTACTAAATTTAGAACAAAATTAATGCATTTTTTAAGTACTAAAAAAATTCACGGGGCAAACAGCAAATTTAGAACTAGGTTAGGTTAGGTTGAAAATGAGTGGGATAATCTCATCGCCCTCCACTGCAACCCAGTTGGGTCTATTGTGACTCATAACTAACTTATAGTTCACCGTACAAGCCACACCTTTTGATGAAGGTCATGGTTGAATTGGGTGAGACTTCTCTAAAGTCGGTAGGCTCCAGTCGGGTAAATTCGAAGATCTGGAACCTGGTTCTTTCCAGAGCGGAGCAGGTACATAGAATGTGTTCTGTAGACTCGTCCTCCACGCTGCAGAATCGACAGTTCGATGTTTGTTGCAGACCTATATCCTTCTCATGTGGTTGCCCAGACGGCAGTGTCCTGTATGTATCAGTCCAGTGAAAATGCGTAGATCTCTCCTACTCCATTCTAGGATTTGAGCAGAGGCGTTCATGGAAGGGTTGTTTATAAACGCCTTCGAATGGGTTAGCCCTGGGGTATCTCTCCAGTTCGTGAGTGTTGCACCCTCCGTCCATTTTGAGATAATTCCTTTGGCAGTGCTTTTTGCAATGCCCAGGAATGGTTCTGGTCCTATGAACACAGATTCGGTTCCTCTTTTAGCAAGTGCGTCGGCTTTTTCATTGCCCTTTACACCACTGTGTCATGGAACCCAGATCAAAGTAACTTTGTTCCGGGCACCGAGATACTCTAAGGTATTTATACAGTTCCAAACCAGCTTTGAGTCAACTCGATTGGAGCTCAGGGCCTTAAGGGCTGCCTGGCTATCTGAAAAGATCTTTATAGTCTTGTTTGTGGGGAGAAAATTGATCAACTCTCTCGCTCTTAATTCTATAGCAATCATTTCTGCTTGGAAGATCGTGGCCAGAGAGCCTAGGTTTATGAATATGTCAACTCTAGGCCTCTGGCCGAAATTTAGTACTAAAAAAACAATTCATTAATTAATTGGAACTTTGCATTATCGCCTTGGACAAATTTCGCTTCTGTTTGATTTTGTAGGTTTCATTGTGTTTTTTCGTGGTTTTTAGTAGCATTGCTGCATTTGGTTGTTGTCAAGTCAACTAATGTCAAGGTCATAATAAAAACATCTTTTAATTCACTTGTCTCATTTACACAGAATGTTTTATTTCTGTGCTAATTTTAAATAATAATACGTCAATGCGCGTGCGCCTATACTTAATTTAGTACTAAAAATTGGTATCGTTGCAAAAGGAAAAACATATTTTTAGTTTAAAATTTAGTACTAAATTAATAACTTAATTTAGGTCTAAATTTTAGTACTTAATTTAGTATTGTGACATACAGCCATTATGCGTTTTAAAGCCAGGGGGCTCCCCTTGCCCCTATAACATAAACGACCTTCATATTATCTACTTAATTATAATTCAATTATAAATGTATCCGAGTAAAGTTCGGGTTCGAATCTTTTGTTTACAGAGTTAAAATGCATGAAATATTTTGTAATTAAATGTATGCAATGTTTCGGTACAAATATTAAGGTATGGTATCTTTGACTTTAAAATTGCCATTAAGGAACCTATTTTTTCAGACCTTCTTTTAACATACTATAAATTGTAGCTAAACCAGCTAAAAACATTTTGATAAATATTCGGAACAGATTTTTTTGCTTTACATTAATGCGGAATAGTGTGATTACAAAACGGCGCCTCTGGAAGTGCAACATTCAAAATGTCAGTATCTTCAGAAAAATCACATTCATTATCGCATGCTATAATATCTTCATTAGGTCTACTTACAATTTGAAAAGTATTATCTTCTCACAGACTGAACATGTTGAAACATGTTCACAAATATTTAAAAAAAATGTCATTAATAATATGATTCAAAATAATTTAATTAAATATATGTTCATGGACATCGAACCGTTGCCGTTGAAACGAATAATAAATACTATTTTATTTAATTGTTTATTTTTAGTGGTTTAAAGGTGCTATATGGACGACAATGGACTATAACAGTCAAATTTTTTTATTAATTCATTTTAAACTTTACCACTCATAAAGTACTTTTCAACATTTTGCCGTTCAGATATCTCTGGAAAAAATTCAAATTAAAAATTTGATGTCCCCTTTACGTGTATTCTTTTGGATCATAAACACGGTCAGATTTCTCTTTCTCTTATCGCGGCAAAGTTTCTGTCGTTTGGCAAAAACGAATGGCCGCGTTGTAGGAAGTATTGGTTTATAGTCTCAAATCTTCCATTTTCCGCCAAAGCAGACATTTTATTACGGTATGGTTCGGGTTTTGGCCGGCATAGCTTTCAGAGAAAATGTCAAGATGCTTTACATCAGTCAATATTTAAGAGTTAATGTAATTCATAAGAAAGAAGGCAACTTCAGTGGGGCCTTTTCGGGCTTTACCCTCGTGGTAGGTATAGAACATTCCTTGATTTGTTTGAATGTTATGGATTTCAAAGACGTTATAGTTTCATACACTGGGATCGGCTTTGCATCTCTGTAATTTTTGCCATTTTATTGTAAAAGCTTTTTGCCCGCCATTTATGTACAGATAATTTCGCAATAGCGACTCTTTTTGCTGTGTCGTTTAAAGTCGGACTTCCAATTTTCACCTCTAATTGTTTACCTTCACAACATATGTTTCCCTGAGGATGTCCAAAAGACAAAGACAAGTGTTCCTGAAAAATCTTAAAATAAAACTTGTTCTTTACTGATTTATTATCGGGAAATTTAGCACAAAATAGATTATACATTTTTCGTTCATTCAGTTTTTTGTTTAAGTAAACTTCTATTTTCCTGTATAATGTGCAAGCTTAGTGGGAAAACTACCAATGTAAATTTTAATCTGGTCCACTATTCGCTCCGTGCGCGACAGCAGCGCCAATTTGTTTTGGTACTAATGGACTATTTCTGCGTATACTGACAAATACGATTTTTAATAGAATTCGTAATTAAAAAGTATATATGGTAGTTTTAATAAAAGTATATGGATTTATAAAACGAGTAAAACATTAGTTTATTATTATTATATATTTGTATCGCTTAAATTAAAGATAATTATGTATAATCAATAAAAATCAATAATAAAATATAGGCAGGCAACCGTATTTACTGGAAAATGTATGAGAAGTTGCCTAAGTCTAATAAGTTGTCATTAAAGAATTAGCCTATTGGCAAAATAAAAAATACCTTTTAATAATAGCGTGAAGTTAAAATGTATAAAAAAGGATCGTTATTTATATTTTAATTTTTGTTCGAAAGAAAACAGTGAATGATTAAAACTGGTTTCCCATCAGTAAGTCACACAATTGCATTCCAGCCACATATAATAATCAAAGGCAGAAATCTTGAACTCCAATCCTTGCTGAATGAACATTTAAGAATAAAGGGATATTAAAGAACATCGTAAAATGATAATTTATTGTTTATTTAAAACCTTTCAAGTTTCTGGTGTCTACTATTTCCAGCATTACTGTTATTAT